TACAGGAGGAAGGTTCAAAAATACTCAAACATTAGTCTGGGTATGCTTTTTTATATTTAATCGCTTCGCTCATTCCGCCGGCCCATACAGTCTCATGTCTGCCGTTTGCCCGAGGGCCTGGTGTCAATGCGGCGCTTTGGGGGTTATTTTGCCAGGCGTCTCGGGAACCTCTTGGAGGCAGTGTTGAAGCCTCTTGAGGCCCCGTAAGGGCCGTTTGGGGGTCGTTGGGGCTTCTTGTTGGGCTTCTTGGATGGTTCTTGGGGCGTCTTGGGGGACTTATTGGCGGGATGTTGGTGGCTTCTGAGGTGCTCCTAGGGGCAGAATCCCCCTTTGGGTGCCTATTGGGCGGTCTTGGTGCTCTCTTGTACCGTCTTGGGGTTATCTTGGGCCGTCTTGGGCCGATTTTAGCGGATTGTTGGGCTGTCTCGGGGCGATGTTGGGGGCTATTTGCGTAGTCTGAGGCGCTGTGAAATTCGAAACGCCGTTCATGCGGGAAGTGCACATGTTCCTCTGGGGATGGGACGATTTTTGATTGTAATGGCCGTCTTGGAGGGCCTCTTGAGGCTCTCTTGGGGTTTCTTGGCGGCCTCGACGGCAATTTTGAGGTCATCTTGGGCGATTTGGAACGATTGTTCGGCGACTTGAGGCGGCTTGGATTGTTTCGGGGGCGTTCCGGTGCCGTTTTGGCGCGCTCCTGGAGCGTTCTGGGGGCATGAGCCGAACGTCGCGCTCTGGGCGGCGTGCGGAAGCCATTGTGTGAGAGGGCGCGGTGGTGAGAAGAACAGCTCACCCCACCCGGCTTTCCGGGCTTTCCGGCGTAAGGAGGGCTTCTTCGCGGCACTTGTGAACGCTCCTGGACAGTGCTTTTTGGGCAGGTTCTTGACGCTTGTTGCAAGTCTGTAGGGGCCCCGTTGGGAGTCTACCGAAAGGAGAGCACATTGTAGCATCGCTTGCACTTGCTTGCGTGCTCGGGGGGGCATTTGGGGGGCCTCCTGGGGCCGCTTGGGGGACTCTTGGGGGCCTCCTGAGGGCCTCGTGGGGGCCTTCTTGGGGCCTCTTAGGGGCCTCTTGGGGCCTCGTGGGGGCTTCTTAGGGCCGAGGGCTCGAAATGTTGTTTCGTGTTCCCTCTCTGGGGCCCCTTTGGGGGCGTTCTTGGGGCCCTTTTGGACCGTCTTGGAGGCTTCTTGGGCCGTCTTCGAGCCCTCTTGGGCCATCTTGGGGCCCTCTTGGGGGCCTCTTGGGCCCTCTTGGGGCGATCTTGGGGGCCTCTTGGGCCCTCTTGGGCCGTCTTGGGGGCGTCTTGGGCTGTCTTGGGGCGCTCTTGGGCCGTTTTGAAGCCCTCTTGGGGGCCTTTTGGGCCGTCTTGGGGCGATCTTTGGGGCCTCTTTGGTCGTCTTGGAGCGTCGGGAAGCGGAAAAGGCGAGAATGCGAAAATCCTTCAAAAACCTGAGGGAAATCGATGAATTTTGCCTCTTGGGGACCTCTTGGCAGGGCTCTTGGAGGCTTCTTGGTGCGTCGGGGAGCCATCTTAGGCGTTTTGGAGCGATATTATGGCGTCTTGGAGCTCTGTTGGACCATATTGAGGGCCTCTTGGGGGTCTCTGAGCTCTTCTCGGGGCTCTTGGGAGGCCCTGAGGGCGGCGCCCAGGAGCAGAACCATCCCCGACAGGGAGTTGCCCAGGGACCTGGTCAGGGTACTTTTCGTCCGGGGACCCCCAGGGGCCGCCCCGCGCGCGCGAACTAGAAAATTGTTAAGCAGTTACTGGAGATCTTAGCACGCCTCTGGCCCGTTGGGCCGGCGAATTATTTTTGTTACTACCACATTTGGAATCATGATTGCCGATGTTTCATTAGTCTCCCAAAACCTGTAGGATGACATGCCCGACCTAATTCCAGACCGCCCAGATGGGTTCGAAGTAGATGGGGTCGGAAGATCGTGCCGCACTGCCGATGCATCAGCGATGCGGCTCGATGAGGAGCCCGACTGTATCCGCGCCGATGCATCGCCGATGCATCGGCGATGTATCGGCGATGCGGCGCGATCCTCGGACCCCGTCGGCTTGGACCCCGTCTGGGATGGCTACAAGAAATGGTCTTGCTTTCGAGGATCGAAGGAGCTGTCATCTCTTCCGCCGCGGAAGACGGCGGGAGGGTGGCGGCAGTCCAAAATCCGAGGCCGCCTCTGCCGGCGGAAGCCGGCGGAAGGGCGGCGGAAGTAAAAGCTGTTGGGTTCGGGGTTCCCGAAATCGCCCATGTGTCGGGCCGAACGAAAGGGGGGGATTGGGAAAGGGGGGGGTACGAAATCTGCTGCATGCAGCTGGTTTCGGCCCAACCGAGGGGCCCATTCCTCGATACATGGGCGCCTCTCGGCGCGGGGAGGCGCCGGGAAAATCAGCTACGTGAGCTGATTCTCAAACCCCCCCTTTGCTATCCCCCCCCTTCCGCCCGGCCCGAATGTGGGAGGGCTCTGTTCTTGCAGGCCCGTCCGAGAGGTCCCCTGCCAGTTGAGAGAAGGCCCCAGCCAAGGCCTCCCCCCGGAAGGCCGGGCACCTCGCGCCGTTTCTCCTTTCACGGGCAGCGCGGGGGGGCCGTGGCCCAGAACTTCGATCTTCGAGGGGCCGTTTTGGGTGCTCGAGCTTCGAGCTTGAAAGTCCGAATGTTGCCATGCTTTCGGATGTTGTCATTGGTTCCCAATGGTTTTCCAGCCTCGGGGCGGTTTCTGTCAGCTGCGCCTCGCCGAGAGCGGTCGCCCACTCAGGGGGGTTGGTGGTCGTTTTCTGCTTCCCCGTTTTGCCGATCGGCGCGGGCCTTCGCCCCATGGCGTAGATGGTGGCTGTTCTCGGCTCCTGTTTCAAGCCAGTGGGACATTCTCACTAAGCAGAGGTCCGAAGCCAGACCCCCCCCTCCCCCCGCCTCTTCCGCCCAATGTCGAAACGCCGGATCACGCTCACTTGGTTCGACTACGCGTAAGAGTGAACCTTCGCTGGAGTGACCTTTGGGGCGGGCCCACTGGGGTCCCGCGATCGCCGAACGCGAGGCGGCAGTTGCGTCTTGCGCGCTTGCGTTTGGCCCCCCGCGGCCCCCCAAAAGCCGCGCACCAAAGATCACTCTTACCAAGGGTCGCTCTTGCGTTATGATGTTCCACTCTACTTTAGCCTTGACTGCCAGAAAGAATTTCGAGCACCAGGAAAACACCGAAACTTGAAGGTTTTCACGTGTCGGGCCCTGGGGGGCGACACTCGTCCGACACTGTTTCGATATTCTTCTGGATGCTCGGAATCATTTATGTGATGAAGTACGATGGGAGCAACATAACTCTTGCGTGTAGCCGATGGGTGCGTGGCCGCCAGCGTCACCCGCCAGGAACCTCGACCCAGGAGCCCGAGCCCGCGCTCCCCGAACTTTGATGCTCATGCGCGCCACCAGCTCCTGCGGTAGTAAGCCTTCTATTCACCAATCAGTGTTTGCACTGAAGGGGTCCTAGCGGAACTTGAAAGATTGACCAAAGGTGTCCTGCCGATTTTGGCGGCTGGCTGGGTTCCCGGGTTCCGTATCCGGGTTCCCAGGTTCCTGGTTGTTGGTTCCGGGCCGATTTCGGTGGGTTCCGGGTTCCCGGGTTCATGGCTTATTTATCAAACCATCCATTGATTGTTTTTTTTTCTTTGGTGTAATATGCTCTCTCGCAATTGCGCCTTCAGAGTCAGAGTGCTCTGGCCTCGATTAGCGCGTGGTCATCGATGAGGCAGCGCCGATTCTCAGCGTCGGATCAGCGTCCACATTGGCGTCGATGGAGCGTCGATCCAGCGACGATCCAGCCACGAGTCGCGTTGATCCGCAAGAGCCAGCAAGATGGTGTGGGAGGCTCGCAGGACTTGCCACCGAATAGGGGAACGAGGAATGACATAAACATAAAGACTCGGAGGTCCGCGCGGGATCCGCGAAATCCGCGCGGACCTTCGAGTTTTTATGTGTCTGTCATTGTTTGTTCCCCTACCGTTGAGTTGGGCCTGTCCCTCTACAGGAGGAAGATCCAAGAATAGTCAGAAAGATAGTCTGGGGACGATTCTTGGGCAACCTTTGATTATTTTGGGGGTATTCTTTGACCATTTTTCAATTTTTCGCTCAAAACCCGCCTGTGAGATGACAGGCCCGACCTAACGCACAGTCGGCTGGCGATCGCCGATCTGCCATCGGAAGCCGAGGGCCAAGGCCTTCGGAGGTCTCCTCGGGCGGCCCTCGAGCCCTCTCGGGGGCGTCCTCAGGTGCAGACAGGCTTCGGAACAAATTAGCGAACACTCATGCCACATTCATCCGTCAACGCCCCCCCCTCCCCCCAATGTTCAAAGTTGGCGGTGGGTCTGGGGGGAGGGAGGGGGAGGGGGAGGGTCCAGTAATTGTTTCCCTCTACCGGATGGTCATCGTTTTCTGACCCCCAGGGGGGGTCCAGCGCGGACCCGAGAGAGCCGCACGGGCCTGAGGTTTTTTATGCTCATGCCAATGCTTGCTTCATTATTCTTATGTTTATGCCTAAGTCGGGCCTTGTTTTTTATGCTGAATGTCGTTCGGGCCTTGGCTTTTTTTTATGTTTATGTTCAAGCCGAACGCCCCACCGCGCGCTCCAGGCGCGTGGTCACCGGCGCCACGCGCCAGGAGCACGCTCGCGCAAGCTAGGGGTCGACGCTCGCGCGGCGATGCTCGGGCGTCAGTCCAGCGCGATTCCGATGTAATTCTGACGTGGTCCCGACGTAAATCTCGGGGGTGGACAGGACCCCCAACAGTGACACGTCGATCAGTGAATTGTCCGTTTTCGGACCTCGAGAGGGCGCCGTGGCCGTTATTTTCCAGGCTTGCGCCCGCCAGGTTTGGGCCCCAGGTCGTTTTTACCAAACCACGTTTTGCTAAAGGGGGGTCTGTCCACTCCCGAAAATCCCACGCGGATCCGACGCAAATCGGGCCGCACGTTGCCGCGCAAGGCCTCCAGGATTTTCCTCCAAACTCCAG